CTAGTGTTAACTGAAAGGCTGCTTTAGAAGTGATAACGGCACAGAAAGGCACGTGCACACAGAAGCCTGACATTTGTGGTTTACTTGAAGACACCTGAAGAAAACACAACTACCCATAACACAGGGAAGCACCACAGACTACTCCTGCCCCACCCCACGTTGCTGGTACCAATCCAGAACAGTGGAAGGGCAATGGGGGGGGGCTCCATTTGCAGCCCCTTACGTGACAGCCTGAGCTCCCAGTTTCCATCAGTAAAAAGAACTGGCTCCTTCCCAATTTTCTACTGTGTCAATTTGAATGTGAATTTGTTTGTACACTTTTGATTTGCAAGCACACTGATGGAAAGGTGGAACAGAACTCTAAAATAAAAGTTCTTCACAGTAGGACACACCACTCAAATGGACAGATCACTGCCTACGTGCGCAGAATACTCCTGAGACACCTGCAACTGGAGCGTGTCCAGAAGAGGGCAACCAGGAGGGTGAGAGGGTTGGAATCCAAGTCTTATGAGGAAAGGCTGAAAGAGTTGGGTATGTTTAGCCTGGGAAAGAGAAGGCTTAGAGGGGACATGATTGCAGTCTTCAAATATTTGAAGGGCTGTCATGTAGAAGATGGAGCGGATCTATACTCTCTTGCTCCGGATTGCAAGACTAGATCTAATGGGTGGAAATTACCAGGGAGTCGTTACCAGCTAAATATCAGGAGAAACATCCTAACTGTAAGAGTGGTTGAGCAGTGGAACAGACTGCCTCGGGAGGTGGTGGATGCTCCTTCGCTGGACGATTTCAAGCGGATGCTGGGCGACCATCTTTTGGGCATGTTGTAGGGCTATCTTATGGCTATGCTCCTGCAGAGTGCAGGGCAGGGGGCTGGACCAGATGATCTGCAAGGTCCCTTCCAACTCTGACATTCTATGATTCTAACTGCCTCGTACTACACCAGAGCACTGGTCCATGCAGGGCAGGAAAGTAGCTCTCCAGAGTCTCGAGCTGGTAACTGCCTTTCCCAACCCCCTGCTACCTGGCCTCTGGAACCAGAGCTGTCAGAGACTGAACTGGAGATGGTCTGTACTCAAAGATCTCAGGCTCTGAGGTGATGCGAGATCCACTGCAAGTCAGAACAGACAATTCTAGGACCGGCAACCGACACTTGTGTAAGACTAGAGATGTGAAGGCCCAGAAAAAACCCGGGAAAATTCAGAAAAAAACCGTTTTTTTCCTGAAGCCTTTTTGGTTTTTTCCGAAAAATTGGAAAAATTGAAAAAAGAAAAGAAAAAAAATTGATTTTGGAACGTTTTATTTTAACATGATGAATAAAATATTTTAAGACAAGGTGTTCAAATATTTTCCAAATCATTTCTAATATATATATATATATGCAAATCATTTCTAAAAAATATGTATGGTATCAGATTGATCTAATTTCTGTGCACTGAGGACAAGCAAGTCCTAGGTTACAAACTGAACTCTCCAATGCAAGAACAAAATGCATTTCTTCCTTTAGGAGGTGCAATTGTCAGAAGAAAATAAAAAAGTTTCAGTTTTGTTTTTGCATGTGTGTGGGTATTCTGTTTGTAATAATTGTTTGGATACACTATATTTTTAATATGCTAGTTGTGATTATTTCATGCCAAGTAAAAATGTTCATAGTCATATTTTATGTTCCTAAAGTTCCTAAAAAAGATGACTTTCAATCTAGAAAAGACAAAAGAAATGCTAATGTGTCATTTTTTTCCAAAATTTCCAAAAATTTCCGTTTTTTTCCGGGAAAAACCGGGTTTTTTTCTGAGCTTCAAAAATTTCCGGAAATTTTACATCTCTACGTAAGACTACTCAGCTACATTCAGTTTGTACAAGAAAAAAAATGTTAGAGAACCCCTGAATTATTTTACAAAGTTCAAACCCCAATAGGCAGAAAATTCACCAACAAAGACCAGTTTCAAAGGGGAACAAAACCAGATTTATTTTTTAAAAAAGCAAGGTACACAAGACAATATACAAAACAGAAACATTTTACCTCTTGCTAGATATGTGAAACTACAAGGATTCTTTTCCGGGAAGATGCTCTGAAGCCAAATGAAAAGCCAATGTCCCCCAAAATGTTGTTCGGTAGACAGGGGGAAAATCCCTCAAAAACACGTTTGCACCTAGTTATTAGAAGACACTTAGGAAATTCTTTTTGAAAGGCAGGGTATAAAACGTTTTTTGAAAACACACACCAATCTCCTGCTGTAGGTGCATTTTGCCATTCACCTGGGAAAGTGACAGCTGCTTCATCCCTCCCACAGAAGCAGTCTGGTATCCCTGTGGCTGTTACACCAAGGAAGGAGCAGCCGGCGACCGCTGCCTGGCGCTGCAGAGCTACACTGGCTGCCTCTTCCAGTTTTCACAAGCCACAAGAGGCAGCCAGGGGAGTGTGAAGGGAACCAGCTGTGTACAAGTGTCAGCTAAGACCAATTTGCCAAAGGAAGGGCGAGGGAACCCTTGAACCCAGCAAACTAGCAGTGTTCTTGCTCCTCACAGACAAGTCGAAGTTGGTTTTGATATCTGGATTTATCTCCCTATCCCCCAAAGAAACTGCAGTGTTCCTTCCAGAGTGGATCAGTGCGCAGTCTCTTGTGTGTGTGTGGAGGGGGGGGGAATTGTCTGGGAAATCAGGAAGGAGAGACAATGGGATGCGCCTCACCCTGCTCCACTCTTCCCCCACATCCCTTTCATCCAAGGGGGTGCGAGAGAACGTCTGCCTCGCCTCCTCTCCAGAACCAAAGAGTATCATACTGCCTACCACTCTTGGCTTGCTGAAACAGTGCACGAGAAGGGGAGGTGGAGACCACTCGAACCTCCCTCCCATAATGCTTCACTTGGCCCCTGGGGATGTCTGCCACTAGTTACTTCCCAGTTCCCAGCAACCCACAGTCCCCCAGTCCACCGGACCTGGAAAGGACGGCTCGTGAACAGGAATGAACTGCAGCTTCCAATTTGGATGCGAGGGCTCAGCACCGACTTGGCAGAAGAGCCGAAGTGGAACTGAAGCCCGGTCTGTTCAAGCAGCAGACTGAGGTGGTGCAACTTCAGAATACAGGTGCAGTGGGGGGGGGTGCCGTTTTTTACATGCTCCCCACATGCAAAAAAATAAAATTTGCTGCAGGTTCAGATGGAAGCTAGCATGGTGGGGAGAACGGTTCAGGTGGGGTAGCCGTGTTGGTCTGAAGCAACAGAACAAAGTTTGAGTCCAGCGGCACCTTTGAGACCAACAAAGTTTAATTCTGGGTATAAGTTTTCGTGTGAATGCTCAGTGTGCATGCACATGACAGCTTATGCCCAAAATTAAACTTTGTCGGTCTTAAAGGTGCCCCTGGAATCAAACTTCGTTCTAGTAGGGAGAACGGTTCGAGTCCAACACCAAACCCTGCTGTGCTAGTTTTCCACATACAGCATTTAGGGCAACTTGTAAAATTTGACTTTTACCTGCACTCTGAAGTGGTACAGTCTGTTCAACCTCCCCTCCCTGAACTCATAGTATCACCTGTGTAGATCAGGGCTAGTCCACTTGCGGCGTACAAACAGAAGGACCTCAAGGCCCCTGTCAGGCTTGTTCGCAGAGTGACCTGGTTTTGGTGTGACGTCAGAGCTGTGGCTTTGTGTGGCAGAACAACCCGGGCCAATCCACTCGCTGAGAATCTGGTGAGTCATCTAAGTCAGAAAGGCACTAGTCCTAAAGGATTCTCTCATATTTTCCCAAAATGGCGAGTGATTCACTTGGAAAACTATATTCCGAAAACATTTAACTGTTTGGCAGCGAGTGGAAAAGAACAAATGGCCCTAGAGAAAGAGGAATCGCCAAATTTGCTCAACTTACCTGCATTCTCTTATCCCGTGTCTTCTAAAACAATGGCAACCTACAGGGTGCATTCTGAAGAAGGCTCTTAATATATAACTTCTATGCCAAAATTTAAAACATTTGCTAAAGCTGAGAACCCTCTGCATGTTTATTCTTTGAGCTCCACACTGCTTTTTTTCCTGGAACAAGGATCTGAATGTACTCTGAATCCCAGTTCAGAAGATACGCTGGGATAAAGCTCAGTGAAACCTGCAACACAGCCCATCCATTTGAGGATGGAACCTCGGATGTCCAAAACTTGGTGCACGAAAAGTGAGAACACCTAGGGGTAGGAAAGCTCCAATTGCCTCCTCATTGGCCTTAGATAAATCAGCACATGGCTTCGATTGTCCAAGGCCTGACCGTGGGCATGAAGGAGGCACTCAAAGCCCCATGGCACTCATAGCATTATGACTGCTGTGGAGCTCCATCCCAATTTACTTGCTTTTCTAGCAATGGGCCAAGAGCAGGCAACTGCCAGGAAAGAAGGAAGACCTTCCCCGCCCCCCCCAATCACGCGGCCCTGTGCCAAGGTCACAGCAGAGCAGCAGGTGACACTTTTCTCTGGCTGGAGAAGATTTTCGGGGCTGCTGTCCTCACCTTGAGGAACAGGCGGGCTTTGCAAGCAGCCAGAGCTGGTACCCCCACCATGGGGAGTGCAAACTTTGGCAGCATCGCCAGAAGCAGCCATCGCCAGCCAGGGTTGCAAAACCCAACGGCACTGTGAAGCAACAGGACATCTGGTGGTAAATAACCAGGCCTCGGGTGTTGCAGATGCATTTTATCACCCGCTCCAAAAGCCCACAGGAAACAGCACCGGAGTGTAACCTTTAATACTTACAGGGGGGTCCACATAAGAAGAGTTAGTCCCAAGGGACACTGCAAACAAGCCTCTGACAACGTGGCTTCTCTTGAGGTGCTCTCAGCAGTGACTAACTTTTGTTGGGCACCACCTGGAGAGCTGACAACTAGTTAACACACACACACCCCCGCCCATCCCCTTGGCTCATCTGCTAACAGTCTGTGGTCCTTTGGGTTCCGCTCTCCCAAAGCCCGTTAATGGTCACCGTCCTTGTGATGGTCACTGGCCGCCTCCTCCTCGGCCGTCTCCACGTGAGGCTCTTGGCCCTCCGTCTTCCCCTCGGCCAGGCCGGCCCCTTCCAAGCTGCCCTCCTGCGGCGCCTTCGGGGCGCCTGGTTGCCCATCCCCTTGGCTGCCCTTCACCACCTCCTGGAGGTTGTACTTTCGGAAGAGAACGTAGTCCTTCACCACACTCAAGCAGCAGATGTTCTTAATTATTTCCACCACGATGGTGAACTCCGGGTTGCTCAGGTCAACTTTGTTTTCTGGATTGAGGTGGCCAACCACTCCTGCAAAACAGAAGAAAGACGGAGGGGAAGGGGAAAAAAGATCAGGATTTGTAGAATTGTGAATATTGGGGAGACGGGAGAGATAATTTGTTCCTTCCTCTAACTGCTGGAATTCGGGGGCACTCACTGAAGCTGACGGACAGCAGAGTTGTGTCCGACAAAAATGACCCAAAATGGGAAAACCCCAAAACAAAACACATCTTCTGGAACTCATTGCCACATGTTGTCTCAACAACTGATAGCTCAGGTGGCTTTAAAAATGGAATTAGGTAAATGCTGGGAGGGCGGGTCCACTGACGAATACAAACCATAATGAATGAAACCCCCAGGTTCGGAATCAAGTCTGCCTGCTTCTAGGAGACATAACTTCACAAGTCAGCCTCCTTTCCCTCCTTTTTATTTCCCAGGGGAAGGTGTCCTTGAGAAACTCTCCGTACCAACTTGGACTGCAGATAACCAAGACATTTATCTTTCACTTGGTTGGCAACATTAGGCGTGCTGTGAATGTGACCTGTGCCTGGGAGGGGAAGGAAAAGGGGCTTTTATTCGAATTATCTATATTAAGCTTGTGTCTGCCAAAAGTCTTCAGTTCTAACACAGTGGCTTTCTGGATCTTGCATATAACTCAATAAACGTATCACTACCAAGAGAGAGCTGTTGAGTGTAACTAGACGGGGGGGTCTGACAGGGAACCCCCCAGCTTTCCAGAACCCCCCCCCCAAAAAAAAAAAACAACAGGTAAAGGGGCTTCACCACTGAAACTGTTGAAAAATGACACCACATGACACTACACTGTGAGACCAGCAACCATTTAGCAATTGCAGGAAAACAAATGCAGCCACGTGAGAGTGGTGGGGAAGAAAGATGGCAGCAATGACAGATGGAGAAAGACGTAGGGACGAGGAAAGTCATGGAGGAAGAGGAGCAGGTAGTAAAGAAGGTGGCCACAGTAGCGGGAGAAAAGAGGACAGTGCTGGGAGCGAACAGGCAGCGAATGAGGAGATGAGGAAGTGGCGGCAACAGGGCAGGGAAGAGACGGAAGCAGGGAAGAGACGGAAGCAGCCATGGCAGTAGGGAGGAGAGACGCAAGAGAAAGCAGGGACGGGGTGTGTGTGATTTTGTCTGCTCCTGCAAGTTTCTCTCAGGTTCTCTTTGTCACCATGACAAACCATAGAACAAAGTCGGCCAACACAGGACTCCACAAACCCTGAGGCCGGCAGAGCCCACAACTCACCCCCACTCAAAAAGACACGCCGGGGCTCACAAAGGACCCAAGTCGCCACCCAGCAACTGCGCACGACTGCAGAATCTTCAAACATCTCATCACCAGAAGTTAGGGAAAGTGTTGCGTGACAACATTTGGTTGCAATCACAAAGCCTGATCACATAATGAAACCTTCTATAAAGGAGCCCTGCTTATATCCAGATCAAAGACTAGAGTTGAGCAAATTAGTTTTTTAAACAAATAAGCTGAGAGTGCTTTTATGACAGACCCCGCCCACTTCCCTCCTTTGAGGCAAGGGTTTCCCCTCTGGTTTTCTTTTGTGTCCCTTCACTGACTGAGCAGCCCTGGTAGCATGTATTCTTCTCCATAAAGTAGCTTTAGCAGTCCCGCCCTGGGTCAGTAATATATAATGGCTATTTTCTCAGCCCTGGACCTGAGGGAACGGTTAAGGTCTCCCTTTAACTCAAATGACAGAAAATGGAACTTGAGACGCTTTTTAAAATTCAAAAAAACCAGAAGGTTGTATTTAACACCAAGGGGAAAAGGTTAGGTGAAGGCAAGGGTTGAAAACACGGCGGTAAAATTATTCTTATAGATCAGGCTTGAGAGTTTCTTGAATTATTCACAGCTACGATAGTTCTTTATTTTGAGAGGCTTATGTTCCTGAGTTTTCCCAAACCACTCCAATTCACTTTATTTGTATAGCAGCAGGCTCTTTTGGTGCCCAGAAGGCAGGTACCCCCTTCCCAGTACCCAAACCCCTTCTCTTGGAGCACCAGAAATCTTCTCCAGTTGTTAACTGACTTTCAAAGTCTCCACAAGCAGTTTCCAATCACACTAGACCAGGGATCTCTACTCCTCAGAGATAACTTTCCCTGTTTGACTGGGAAGGGATTGTTCTTCTCTCCCTAGAAGATCTATCCGCTTTTCCTTTGGCCTGGACGGGAGACTTCTTATGCTACCCAAGCCTCCTCGCCAAACCTTCCCACAGGACACTATGTTCAAACTGCTCTCAGCTAATGCTGAATTAAGACTATATTCAGTCACGGATGAATTCTGACTTTTGTCAGCACAAAAGCCCCTTTTCTGTCAGGGGGGCTAGCCTAAGATGATCTCAACACACGTCTCGACACAGTTAAGGCAGGAGTCTGACTCAATTTTTTCAGCAGCCGGCTCTCACCAAATTTTCTTTGCTCAGCTGATGCCAACCAATCAGATTGCCTGGAACAGCCTGTCACTCAAGGCTCTGTGAAGTATTAACCCTTCACAGTCCTGTAGTTTTATGTACAATACTTTATAAGTCTCTCAAAAAGTGCAGTCCGTCTCAGCCCTACATTTGACAAATTATTTGAGGTGCGTGGGTTGGATTCCTAGTAGGGTTCCCTTCTGCTGATTGCCACTGCCACTGCTGTTCTGAGTGGTGGTGGGAGAAAAATAAAAGGGCTGTCAAGCTTCTGTGCCAGTACCTCACTTCTGGGTACAACCCTGAAGGGCAACGGGTAGCTCTAGGAACTGCTGGACAATCTAGGGTTTTACCATAGGTTCCCACAGTTCCCAGGGCTACCCATTGTCACTTCTGCACTGGACCCAGAAGCGGCACAGCGACATCCCCATATATACCCCCAAGAGAACTTCGGTCCGGGGCACAACATCGCCTGGTGGTTCCAGGCCCCCGGGAGGCAAGGCTCGCCACAACTAGGACCAGATCCTTTTCAGTGGTGGCCCCTACCTGGCGGAACGAGCTCCCGGAGGAGATCAGGGCCCTGCGGGACCTTATGCAGTTCCGCAGGGCCTGTAAGACGGAGCTCTTCCGCCAGGCTTTCACATAGGGGCCACCACTACCACCGCCACCAATGAAGTGGACAACATTGGGGTTAAGGATGGCCCAGGAAGATCTGCCACAATTTCTGCGTGGCCACTGGATTTACCTGGTTGAGCTATAGGATAACATCACCCTGGAGAACCATCCGGAGACCATCTTGTTAAATTGAGTATAATTTTTATTAATTGTCATTAATGTTTTATTACTTTTATCTGTTTTATATGGGTTTCCCCCTTGTAAGCCGCCCTGAGCCCGCTCTGTGGGGAGGGCGGGGTATAAATCTTAATAAATAAATAAATCACCCCCTCCCCGTTTTTTTGTGTGCATCCCCCCCCCCTGGCTGTTGCACCTATATCGAACCCAAAACATGCCCATCCACTGTCACACTGGAACCTTTTGCAAGAGAAGTTACCGAACCCACAGATGACCTCCATTTACACAAAGAACTATCAGAACCTACTTCAGTCATTTACACAAAGAATTATCAGAATCTACTTCAGTCAAACAATGCTTGTGGCTACTTATTTTCTCCCTCAAAATCCTTAGCAACTGACCCAGTGCCTTTTTAAACTCACCCCGCCCCTGGTGGAAGGTTTTCAAACAATCCCTCTGAGCCTGTTCTCAAAAGCAAAAGGTTAAGCTTTGAATCAGTCTGGAATCTTGTTTCACCTGTAGCCCGTATGCCATCCTGACCATATATAGCTGGCGTACAACCAAGCTGGACCATGAGTCTTCCTTGCACAATATTGTTTCTGCTGCAACTGGAGGCTGTTCCCCGATGTCTCAGGCAGATAAAGGTCCCCCACACAAAAAAACCCAACAACACCTGCTGCATGTGATCCTTGGACTGGAGGTGCCAAGGATTGAACCCGGGCTCTTCTATGTGCACAGCAGCTCCTCTACCACTCAGCCACAGCCCCCTCCCATCTTGCCACCTCACCTCAGCAAACAAACCACATACCTGCCAGTTCTTTGATGACTTCTTCCCGACTCAGGTGATTATTATTGCGAGCCTTGTACACAATCTGGAAAGTGCCCTTCTTAGGAGCCTTAAACCAGGGCTCAAAGAAGGTCTCCGTGTAACGCTTCATGTCCTCCAGGAAGGCTTTGCAGGAGCCGGAAACGGGCAACATGCGCAGAATCACCCTGGTTTTCTTCTTCTTGGTGGCATGCATGTCCTTCAGGATGTGATGCACCAACTTCTCGGGTTCTACAAGAAGAAAGCACCCATTTTTCATTGACTTAATGGGAAATATAGAGCAACAAGGCTAAAATAACCAGCAAAACCTTTAAGAACAGAAAGAACCCAAACAGCCTAAAGCAAACAGTAATTTAAAGCGTAAGAAAGACTACAGTTAGTAATGCCTGCAGCAGGTCAGAAAACAGCAATTTCATATAAAGAAAATGTATATAAAATGTTTTATAGATGGTATATTACTTGAACATTTGGCTAAGTTTGACCCTAAATGTTTAAATGTTTGTTGGAAATGTCAAAATAAGATTGGTTCCTTTTATCATATGTGGTGGCTGTGTGAGAAAGCAAAAAAAATACTGGGCATGGATTCATGAAATACTACAAAAATATCTGTAATGTTTTGTACCCTTTGTTCCTGAAATGTTTTTGTTAAATATTATACCTGAGAGATGTAACAAAAATTATTCATATCTCATTTTGTACATAACTACAACTGCTAGAATACTATACACCAAATATTGGAGAAGAACCGAAACACCCTTGAAAAAAGAAATTTTAAATAAAATCCTGGAAACAGCCGAAATGGACAAACTAACCTTAACTTTGAAAGGCCAACCAGAAACAACTTTTGAAAGTACCTGGGCAAGGTTTTACAGTTGGTTAGAAGACTACTCCAAGTGAACAATATAATTATTGGAATCTTATTAAGGACAAATGAGCTTCAGAGCTGTTATTTTTTGCAAGAGACTTTATTAATGCTACAAGGTGAAATTCATAAATGTACTACAATTTAGACATGAGTTTGTAAAAGAAAGAACTGATAGATTAATATATCTCCCACTGCATGTTTGCTTTGTCTTTAAAAATAATAAAAATCTTTAAAAAAAAGAAAACAGAGAGGGCTCCCCATACACACACCAATATTAACTACAGAAGAACACTCCAACTTTTATTCTAGCCCCATACAGCCAGTGCAGAGTTTTCCCTTTTTCTCTTTCAGCCTGTTCCTTCCATGGTATTTTTTTTTACAATGAAAAGACCTGTTCATTTTTATTCCTGTACCACACTTAGTCCATCATAGATATTAATGATAACAAGACTGGCCTCCCCCTGGCTGTTTTTAGTTTGGGGAGGGAGGTGGCACCGTAACCCGTCTTTCCCTCGCACTGTGGCTAAAAGCAGCCACAGGTCAGGGCTATTTTGATCAGGGGAAAAGGTGTCACGCCAAGAGTTTAAAAAGAAACCCGACCCAATCCACACCTGTGACAGACATGCAGAGGCTGTGAGGGGCTGGAAGAGGGCAAACTAACACATAATCCAGGCAGTACAGAATTGCTACAGATGGATAGCTGTGCTGATCCTCGAACAAGTGTCAACCTGCACTGGACTGGACTCCCTGAAACAGAAAGCCACCAAATGCCCAGGTGACGGAGGGGTCCGAAAGAGGGTTTTTCACAGAGGTCATTTCGGGGGGGGGGGGAGTCGCAGTTCCCCCGGGTGAGGTGCAGGGGGCGGGGCACATGACGAAGCCCCGCCCCCTGCTTCCAGCCGCCCCGCTTCCAGCCGTCATTCAGCCAGGAGGAGGCAGGAGAAAAGGGAGGGTAAGTTGCTTCCTCCCCGCCTCTCCCCACCCCTGCCTGCCTGGGGCCAGGGAGGGCCTTGGCGGGGCTTCCTCGCACTCCCGCTGGCCTTGCAGGTCCACCGCCGGGCCCCTGATGTCAGGGGGTGTGGCATATGCTAATGAGTTATGCTAATGAGTTCCCCTAGCTCTTTTTCTACGAAATGACCCCTGGTTTTTCAAGTTCCAGCTGGAGCACCAATTGTGCCTGTTTCGAGAAAAGGCAGGCCCGACTGCAATCACAAATGTCTCAGGGACATCCGGGCTAGACTTCCGCAAGGCATTTTCCTGCAAATGATTCATAAAATTTAGCAGGTTCAGCCTGTGGCAGCTGGCTACACTGGTAACAAAAACCCGTCACAATGACTGCATTGCGGTTGTTCCAGGCAAATCTCACTGGCTTTGAGCTTGCTTCCGGGTCCCACTTCGAATTGCTGGTCATAACATTCAACTCTTCGCAGGGCCTGGATTCAAGATAAGGAAGCTCTTTTTTGCAGGAACACACGATGGCTGAGGCTGGCCTCAAGGGAACCCTCTCCACAGCCTTCTCAGCACCCACAACAGCTTTCTGCAGGTCACCCCCCATCCCACCCAGGTACGATCTCCTTGCTGGACCCTTTCTGGGTCCAGCTGAAGACTCCTTTATTCCGTAAGGCCCCTTTTAGCGTTCACTCCTCAGCCTAGTTTTGCTAGGTTCTTACATGTGAATTTTTATGGGTTTTGTTAAGTTTATATTGCTGTAACCAATACTCCCTCTAAGCTGTGGAGTCTTGTGAGCAAAAATTCTACTTTGTTAGCTACTAGCATTAAAGTTGTGAGCAAACGATTTTGGCTACTGCATAAATTAGTTGGCTCTGGAGCCATCCTCCCGGAGCTAAGACAAAAATGTGTGAACTGAAGGCTAAAAAACTGAGCTAGCTCACACTAACTCAGCTTAGACAGAACACTGGCTGTAACCTGTCTTCAGCCACGAGCCGATTCATAAAAACAAATATTGGAGCTCCTCCAGAGGGCTGCTAAACGTGAGTAGTTTGTCACCAGCTCATACTGACAATATACTTTCATTATGCAATCACATTCCGCGGTTCATGTACACACCTACGCCCAGCGTCCGGATGAAAACGACATTGTTAGCACCACTTTCCACTGACTGGAAGCGTCTCAGCTTCTGTTCTGTCGAAGTACGGATCTGATCGACTTCCTTCTTCACAGCAGCTTCGGCATCATCTTCCTCCTCTTCCTCCTCCTCGCTTCCTGACCCTCTGCTGTCGTCGTGCTCTATGAACTGTTCACACACAGCACAGCATTGGGCCACAATCAGAGAATTGCCAGAGCTAGAACTGTGCATTAAAATATTTGCATACAGCCTTTGTCTACTCAGCAGGCCCCAAGATAGATCACAATATACAATCAGAGAACGAACTGCTAAAATAAAATATTTGCAGATGGCAACAGATTGGGAGGAGCAGTGAACACAACGGAATATAGAGCTAGAATTCAACAAGATCTGAACACACTGGGAAAGTGGGTAGATGTGAACAAGATGCAACTTAACGAGGATAAGTGCCAAGTTCTACATCTGGGTAACAAAAATGAGGAACATGCATACTAGATGTGGGATACACTTCTGAGTAGCAGTGTGTGTAAACAAGATCTTGGGGTACAGGTGGACAAGTTAAATATGAGTAGCCAGTGTGATGCACCAACAAAAAAGTGTATCAACAGAGGCATAATATCCAAATCACAAGATGTCATAGTTCTGCTGTACAGTGCCTTGGTCAGGCTGCACCTGAGTACTGCATTCAATTCTGGAGGCCTCACTTCCTAAAGGATGTGGACAGAATGGAGCAGGTGCAGAGGAGAGCAATGATGATGATTAGGGGCCTGGAGACCAAGATCTAAGAGGAAAGGCTGAGGGGAATGTTCAGTCTGGAGAAGAGGGGGCACACGATTGCTCTCTTGAAGTATTTGAAGGGCTGTCACTTAGAGGAGGGCAGCAGAGGATAGGACTCACAATAATGGGCAGGAAGGTACTGGCTAGATATCAGGAAAAACTTTTTTTACAGTAAGAGTATTTGCCAAGCTACCTAGGGAAGTGGTGAGCTCCCCCTCACAGGCAGTCTTTAAGCAGCGGCTGGACAAACACTTGTCAGGGATGCTCTAGGGTGAGCCTGCACTGGGTGATGACTGAGCAGGGGGTTGGATTAGATGGCCTGTATGGCCCCTTCCAACATCTATGATTCAATATGATTATGTGCTGCATGGTAACTAAAATCACAACACATTCATTATGATCCAAACAAATACAATGGGGGGGGAAGCAATTCTAAACAGCACTGCCTTACAAATGTTTTAAGCCCAACTGGAAAGCATCACAGGTCCATTTAAGTAGCAAACTGCCCCAGAGCATCGGAGAATGCCCATCACCCTCTTTCCCACAATAGCCAAGGTGCAAGGAGGCCCAAGTTCCCCTACCCCATAGGAGGTATTCAGAGAGGTATGCTACCTCTAAATGTGGCAATCCAATTATGGAGCTCCCCCTAAATTAGGGAAGAACTCCATGCCACATTTGTGGGGTTCCCAGAGACACCTGGTTGACCACTGTGGGATAGCAGGGTACTGGGGCATATACACACTTTCACCTCAACCACCAGAACGACTTCTGTTATTAGCTATGACATCGAAATGGATCTTCCACAATCAGTGGCAGTGTACCTCCCTGCAGAAAAGCCCCATGTACTGCTGGCGGGCATCAAGCTGGCCTCTGTTGGAAACCAAGATTCTGGACCTTTTGGCTTGATCCGGTATAGTTCCTTCTTCTGCAACAAAAGGGCCACAAAAACAGAATCTCCAATGCTCCGAGGCAGTGCACCCCTCTAGGTTGGCCTGACCCAGGAGAGCTTGTTCAGCTACTCGGTACGGTAACGAAGCAGAACCTCCCTGCTCTGTATCTCGTTAGGGACGTTTTGGGGCTGTCTGCTTGCATCTGGCTGCTGGATCAGGCAGACCTTTGGCCCACCTGCCTCCCACCCACTCACCTGCTCGGGCCCGTACAGCTGTTCCCCGTACTCGCCCAGCAAGCTATAGGCTTCGGCCACGCACTTGCGCTCGTTCATGTTGCAGGTGATGAGGATGCCGCACATGCCGGACTCCAGCTGGCGCGACCCGCCCGGCCGGGCCCGCTTGGCCGCCGGCACGTACTGCCCTTTGGGCCGCCGCTTGCGAGACGCCGCCGACGCCACCGGTCCCTCCAGGGTAGCCATGGCAGCCACAGCCGCCGCCAGACAGGCCACGAACCACGCGCTGCACACGTCCAGGCCGCGGCCCGTGATGGCGTCATCCAGACGCGCCGCAAGAGCGGGCACAGAGACCGGGGGCGCAAAAGGAAAGGCCAGAGAGGACACTTCCGGTGTAAAACCGAATGGGCTTCAATGCGAACGTGTACACATGTGCCGCAGAAAATCACAGCACTCCGCGGGTTTGTTTTGCCGGAAGTTGTCTCCATTACAACAGTAGCGGCTCTTCCCCAGACCTGCGGCTTTTCAGTGTTTCCCGCCAGGTCCTAAAGCCGAGCTCTACGCCACCGTGGGGGGCGGGGGAGCTGATTGAGGGCCCCACCATCTGTTTCTCAACCAGCTCCCAAAAGCAGTCTAAAACGTGCCCAACGAACCAACTAAAGCGTGTATGATTACCCTACTCCAAAAACAAAATTAGGCTCTTGCCAGTTTTGAACACATGTGCGGATCCTCCCGAGCATTCTGATGCCATGCTGGGTGACTCCAGAATGGAAGCGCCTCGCGGGCAGGGACTTGTCTCCCCCCCCCCCCCCCGCGATTAAAGCACCCTTGACGATGCACTGGCATTTATTGCCTTCCTTCTTCACCCCTCTGATTGTTGAGACCAGTTGATAAAATAGTGTCTTATAATTATTTCGTTTCCGACGGTAGCCGTCTGCAGCAGAAGAACTAAATGCAAGTCCAAGTAGCAATAAGACCACAAGCGCTGCTCCGCGCTCACTCCTCCCTTTTGCCCCGATGGTAGGTGTCAATTTCACACAAGCCGCTGAGGCCGTGTCTACTCAATCCTCAAAAAACAGGATTGAGTAGAGGGGCGAAAATCGCAGAAGCTGCAGGGCAAAATGCAGTTGCGCAGCAGCTTGTGTGAAATTGAAAGGAGCACATCGGGCCAAAGAGAAGAGCGAGCGCGGAGCAGCGCTTGTGGGAAAGCACCCCAACTCCAGACCAGTAAAGTTTTTTTGTTTTTTTTTTTTGGGGGGGGGTTGTCCTAAGCTTTCGAGAGTCAAAAGTCCCTTCGTCAGTATATATGGCTTGCAAAAGCTTGCAAAAGCTAATATCCCCCAAATCTTATGACCACATAGTATTACATACCATATATGCTTTATAAGTATAATACTAGTAGCAAAGTTTTAAAACCACCGCTTGAGCCAGCCCGTTATGGAATTCCAGCTCCAAATGCAGTCGGGGTCGACGAGGGTCAGTTATAAAGCCAGAGAATCTTCCCGGGGTGTGTGCGCGCGCCTCCCCTTCCATCCTGGGTGCCGCTCCCTTCCCAGCCGGGCAGAGTGGGTGTGACTTGGCCCGGCGCGCTCGCTCTCCCGTCCTCACTCGGCAATTTGGGTCCCCTGGATTACTCGGAGCCGGAGGCAGAGCGGCCGGGGCCGGTTCCGAGAGTCCCCTCAGAGCTTGCAAGGACTTGGCAGCAACCCTTCACGTGAGTCTTTCCTTCGGGTAGGTGCTTGGTGGTTGTTGCATTCTGGATCCTGGGCATCAGACTAGGGAGGCAACAGAACTTTACACAGGAGCACAGTTTAAGAAGTCCCGTTCTCTCTCTATTGGAACACCAGGAACAGAGTTGTCACAAAAACCACAGTTAGCGATCTTTTCTTGTCTGCTAATTTTTCAGGGCTCAAAATGAGAATAATTTGCTTTCAAATGAATGTCCCAGAAGAGAGCACCATAAATCAGCATCTAAGGAGCCACCCCCAATAAAAAATGCTGCCATTCTGTATTTCAGCAGGTTGAGATTCCCCAAAGGGTGGCATGTCGGTTTTCCATTTGCAGGCTGGTACAACAACAGAAACATAAACTGTTCTTTTTTCTTATTTTGAAGGTATGATTGAAACCCTTGGATGTTGCTTTAATTGCGTGAGAATAATTAGGGCCCTCTGTTTAAGGCTTTACAAATCAAAACCAGAATCTTGATTTGGCCTTGAAAACTAACTGGTAACCCACAGATAAATCTTCGTAGGCCGGATATCGCGGGGGGGGGAGGCATGGCTGTTTGCCCTGGAGCGAACTACTGCGTGGCCGCCGGATCAAACGTGTAGCTGACGTCCCGTGGATCGGGGAGAGGGGGCGATCATATGTCAAAGAAGCGGCCTGGCGGGGGTTGTGTGTTTTTTTTAACCAAAGTGTGCGCATGCGCCGTTGGGTGCTTGTGTGCATCCCGTGGAGACTTGAAGAAAAAAAACCTTTTTGCGATGGGACATGGGCGGGCGCCGGATGCCACGAGCTACCACCGGAAACGTGATCAGACGCCCGCCCTTGCCCCGCGGTTTCTGGAAACTAGTACCTTGGAGGTACTAGTTTTTTACGGTGCATCTTCGGCGGGAAGCCTCGGGTTAGCCACGGGAGCTCTACGCTTCCCAGATATTGCGGTTTGATCGCGCCTGGAAAATCCGCCTATCTTCCGTCTCTCTCGCATGCCTAATGCTCCGTGTGACCGCAGCCAAATTGACCCTGCCGCCAGCTACTCACCAAAGGTAGGCCTCAGGGTTCTGGACTAGATGAACTGTCTTCAAGGGGCCCACGAGGCCCGGCCCCCTGACGTTTCTTCCAGGGCCCCCAAACTGAGCCTTGGCTTCTCTTCCCCCTGAGCTCCACAGTAGCTACATGCCTGTCAGTGAAATGGGGGCTGCATGGGATCGCAGGGAAGTCATTGTGCGAGACAAGGCACAGGATTCCAGCTGTGCGCTCCACAGCTCTGAAGTACACTGATTTGCAGTTAGTCGATCAGCCCCATCTGAACCAGCACAGTCTCGGGCAGGGAGGAAAGAATGCTCATAGCTCCATACAGACATATAATGGCTGGCCCCCTGAGCAAAAAATTGGCCCCCCAGCAAAAAGTTGCTAGCTACGGGGCTGCTTCAAGGGTAGCCCCATATGGAGGTAAAACCAGGACAGTCCTTAAAAATGTTGGACTGGCCTCCTTAACTGATTAAAAAGTTCAGAGTGTTTTGCAAATCACAGAACTCCTGGTACAGCCCAGTGATATATTAACTGGTTTACCCCCTGACGGTTACTGAACAGCACGGCACCAAGGCAACAGCCAAGAGAACTTTGACTGGATTGTTTATAAATGACTGTTCATTCCTGCAACAGGGTGTCCCCAGACTTCTATGTACCTGTTAGTGGGGAGCAAGAGGCAGAGCAAAGTTGGACTCCTATCTTGCTCCAACCCTATTTAACCTCTTCTTAAATGATTTAGACCCCTTTATGAGGAGTATTGATAGCCATTGCCCTAAACTAGGCGAGAGGCATGTCCCATTACTTTTGTATGCGGACGATGCTGTCCTGCTCTCTCTCTCTCAGAAATGGGGATGAAAAGGATGCTTGCACAAACTCTTGCTTATTGCAATAAGAACAAGTTGTCCCTGAACTTTGATAAATCCAAAATGATTGTCTTCGAGAAAAGTTGGAAGCCCATAACTGGATTATACAGGGGGGGGAATTGAACAAGTTAAAAGCCTTAGATATCTGGGCATCTATTTCCATTATACTAACAGTTGGGCTACACATATCAAAGAAGCAGTCAAGTCATCAACTAACAACGCCCTTGCTATTGCCCGTTTCTTTTACACCAAAGGACATCAATATATCCCCACTGCTTTTGAAGTATTTAACCACAAAATACCTGCCAAACTGCTTTATGGTATCCCAATTTGGGTCTTAGCGTGCAATGAAGCTGTAGAACGTGTTCAATCTAAGTTCCTGAAGAAAATCTTGGGGCTACCAGCTTGTGTACCATATGCAGTTATGTGCCTGGAGACAACCCAAAGACAGTTAATTACGATGGCATGGACCATAACCTTTAAATTTTGGCTGCGCCTTCATTTTAGATGTGGCCCAAACAGTCTTGTGGTACACATGTTAACAGAATCCCATCTATCAACTTGGTTGATTAATATAGAGGGGGGGGGGCTCTGTAATTGGCTTTAGTTTTGATGATTTGGTACTTTTGTCTGAGCAGAAGGCTTTTGCCTTACTCAAACAAAGACTCCTCGATATAGAGGGGCAAGATCTGAGAAGACCTGCGCACAGACATTGCTCTCCCTTGAGTATGGGACTCTCCTTCAGCCACATTTCCTCAGGATATCTGGCAAGACTGATTCAGCCCCATCTTCGTAGGGCGTTCATGCTGGCTTGGTTCGACGTCCTTCCCTCAGCTGTTTTATCGGGAAGTTTCAAGAAAATTCCCTATAGTTTACTTTACTTTACTTTACAATTAGATTTATATACTGCCCTTGACCCCTAAGGGGTCTCAGAGCGGTTTACTACGTAGTTTTTGTCCTAACCTAGGGCCACAATTCGAAGGGGGAGGGGCTGCCTGGAATCTCTGTTGCAAGAAACCATCAAAAACTACACTACCACAGGAAATTACGCTGGCATGGAAGCCGCCACTGTCTGCATCTGCTTATGGCCAAAATAATTCAACACTGGGGGGGTCCATTGTGTAAATTAGAGGCAGCGGGAGGGGGCTATGGTTTGGAATCCCAATAAGGATCACATTTTTCTTGAAGAGGGTTTAAAGATACTGTGGGAAAGTGCATTTTATGATCAAGGAAATTACGTAAGGCAGGAAGCCTGATCCATATTGTCCTCAGCATTTGTTTTCGCAGCTAAATTACACGCTTGGGGGATATCTGATCACATTCCCCAGAGTCACATCTCGCTTGGCTGTGATTTCAGCTGTTGTAGCCTGATCTCGTCAGATCTCAGAAGCTAAAGAGGACTGGCCGGGCTCACTATTTAGATGGGAGACCCCCAAGGAAGTCCAGGGTCCCTGTGCAGACACATGCAATGGCAAACCACCTCTGAACATCTCTTGGCTTGAAAGTCGGCTGTGACTTTACAGGCCCCCCCAAAATTAAAAAAAACCCCAAACCTCTAGATTATGTGTAACCAGGGCTTTTTTTTTGTAGAAAAAGCCCAGCAGGAACTCATTAGCATAATAGGCCACACCCAACAGCAGAAACTCATTAGCATATTAGAAGAAGAGAAGAGATTGGATTTATACCCCACCCTTCACTACCCATAGGAGTCTCAGAGTGGCTTACAGACTCCTTTCCCTTCCCCTCCCCACAACAGACACCCTGTGAGGTAGGTGGGGCTGAGAGAGCTCTTGAGAGAAACTGCTTTTTCAAGAACAGCTCTTATCAGAACTACGGCTTGCCCAAGGTCATCCAGCCAGGTGCAAGTAGAGGAGTGGGGAATCAAACCCAGTTCTACCAGATTAGAGTCCGCATACTTAACTGCCACACCCCTGACACCACAGCTCATTAGCATATTGGGCCATACCCCCATGTTACCACACCCACCTTTTGCTTCTTATTCTGTTTACTTTGTTGTCAAAACCCTGGGCTTTTTTTGTAGCAGGAACTTCTTTTGCATGTTAAGCCTAGGGTTGCCAAATGGGGCCGGGGGGGCGGGGAATCCCCCGCTTCAGAGGCCCGATTTCCACCATGGCGGAAACCCCGCCCCCGAAGCCGTGTCATATGGTTTCCCCCCCCCGACGAGCTCGGCCACGCCCCCAACATCAGCAACGTCACTTCTAATGAGTTTCTCTTAATGAGTTTCTGCTGTTAGGTGTGGCCTATTATGCTAATTAATTCCTTCTGGGTGTGGCCAACTCAGGAGCCAGCCGGACCTCCATTCCTGTGCGTTCCTGCCCAAAAATAGCCCTGGCTTCTACCATAGAGTTTTTGCCCCCAAACCAGAGCAAGTGTAGCCCCATCCATTCCAGTGGCATCCCTAGTTATCCCTTTTACTTTCTCCTATATGCTAATGTTGCGGTGGCTCCAGTGGTTAAGACGCTGAACTGCAGGCTGTGGAAGGTCGGTAGTTCAGCAGTTCGAGACCCGAGTGTGCCGCATGACGGAGTGAGCTCCCGTCTCTCGTTCCAGCTCCTGCCAACCTAGCAGTTCGAAAGCAAGAAATTGCAAGTAGATAAATAGGGACCACTTCGGTGGGAAGGTAACAGCGTGCGCCTTGGTGTTTAGTCATGCCGGCCACATGACCACGGAAACGTCTTCGGACAGCGCTGGCTCTTCGGCTTTGAAACG